TTTGCACCTAATCCACACACACAGAGGAAAGCAAAATTCCAAATGATCGAATCTGTTCCATTAGAATCTTAATAATGCTGTGTTTTGATTCTCCTAAAAAATCCCTTTATCATGTTCATTGTTCAAGTTGCATAATTCATGTGCCACTAGCATCAAATATTTATGCTACTAGCTGGTTAATTTTATGCTACTATCTGATCTATATACTAGTATATATAGATCAGATACATCAATTTTTGTTGACTCAGATGTCTTGACCGATTAAACTCAGATACTCTCGATTAATTTGGTGGATAAAATGTGACCAAATTTTCAATTCTAAATTTTTTTATGACAATTTGCCATCATGTTGGTTGGCAAGTTACTGAATTCACAAGCCATGCTCAACGAGCATGCATAGTCACAGTGCATAGCCAAATTCACAGTGTTTTGTGCCAGAAATTGTTTTATCCTTTAAACGGAAACTCATGTCGCTGGAATTTCACGTCAATCAAAGACATGTCTGCACTCACAATAGAATCATTTTTATAAGAAATCATTACTATATGAAATATTTGAGACCAGTAATAATTACAAACATTAATTTTGACACCCGTGAAAATCAATAGTACTCCCATGTCGTGGAATATGTATACATAAATTTATTTTTTATATGTGAAATAGAGAAGACATGAAAAGGATCTGAATTCTAAACTATATTGTTGTATGAATGAGACAAAAATGTTCAGATATGAAATTGTGAAGAGTATACAGTAAATAAGGTTTTTACTGGTGATTGTGATGTTTTGTATAATGGGAAGAAATTTGGTATTAAGACAATTTCAGTGTAGTTATCGTAACAATAACTACACTTTTATGAGATACAGCCAATTATTGTATAGTACATGTTTTTAAGACCTGAAAGCAATCAAAGTGTTGGTTGTAACTCATAAAGTTTTTCTGATATGTTCTGTCTTATCATAAAATTGATTAACTTTCACTCTTCTAGAAAAATTACAATTTATTTGGGACTCTCCTCCTTTCTTTTCTTGATAAAAATGTTTTTTTAATGTTTAATAGTAATGCTGGAGTCGTCATGTTTTCTTTTCTTAATAGAATTATTGGCGTGTTATTCAATTGGTACTTAGTTAAGTGGTAATTGCGTTACATTTAATACGAATGATTGCGGTTCGATTCTCTACTTAGAGGAGGATGTAATTATTTAATGTTAAAATTTGTCACTGAACCAGATGAAAAATATTTGAATACTTTAGAAAGTAATCTGAATTATTTTAAATTTTTTTTGTAAAAAAAATATATTATTTGAATATTAAAAAAGTGATAGAGTATTTTAATATTGCATACATACAATTATTGATGAGACAGAAAAATATGTCCACCTAACGTATTTCTAGAAAAATTAATTACTCATAAAAGTAAATATGTCCACCTATAACTTTTTTAGAAAATTACCTACAATGTATATAAGATCTTACAAATGTCATATATTTTGATATCTGATGTCCCCACAACAACAGATATTTGATCTTTATTAGAACAATAATCCAAAGTCATGCTAATCTTGGTAAGGATTATAGGAAAACATTTCATTGCCACTTTAACTACTAGTTGCTTCCATTTTCATAATTTTATGTATTACTCTCTTTGTTCTAAATTATATTGTATTTTGGTGATTTTATATTTTAAACAATATAATTAACTTTTTATAAAAAAAGTTATTATATATAATTTTGCAAAATTGTCATTTATTATGAGGAAGATTAATTTCATAGGGCTATAAAGTACTAAGTGTATATGTGGAAAAACACAAAAATTAAATAATTTGAAATTTAAACTTTAATACATTGAAAAAATTAGATTAAAAAATAGGATTAGAATTATTGTGGCCAAATAGTGAAAGAAGAATTGAAGATGCGAAAAGTGTTGAAGATAAAATCATGGCCTTGAAATTTGGAGTAGAACGAGACATATTTTGACTTGTGCATTTTGTAATGAAGAACTTGAATATTTTTAATAGCCTTGAACTCCTTCTTCCTGTACAAAACTAAGTGATGTGAAACTTGTTCAACATGTATATTTTTAATCAACCCCAACAATCTCCACCTTAATTGAAAATTATATATCACTTTCATTGTCTTCATCGACAATCGTACTCTACCATAAAGAGTATAGTCACTTGAAGCTACATCACTTCAAGAATTTTCATATTGTCTTCATCGACAACCATAGTTCAAAAACTATCATACTCCACCTAAAGAAGAGTATACTTCACTTGAAGGTAAGCCACTTCAAGAGTTTTCACATGTCAAAAACCAAGTTGAAAACCTATGGTGCAACTTCCATGTTAGTAAGAAACTCTTCAACCATCAACATAATCTCACACTTGTCTAAACTTGATTGTATCAACACATCTTTGACTTGAACTTTCCACAGGTCAAAAACAATTCTTACATCAATTTTCTCTAGCTGTAACTGCACAACAGAAACTTTGACTACAGCTCAATAACTTTTTCATAACACCATACTTTTTTTTTCTGATGAGGAATATCAGACAAAGCTGCAATTATAGAGCATACTAAAAACTCCAATACTCGGATCAAACCAAAAAGATTTGATACCGGTTGGGTCATCATGGAGGGAAACATTTACATTGGGTCAAACACTCACCTTAAGATTAAAAACTTGCCCAAACGAGTGAATGAGACACCACATATTCACCAAAAACATTAAAGAAATGAGTGTATGGATCCTCTCATTTATAAAGTTCTTAAGCTATACTTTTCCAAGCGATGTAGAAGTAACAAAATACACTTGTTTTTCAATAATTCCCCCTTAAGTGTGAGTCTATCCATTATGTTTTTCCTCAAGCAAAAGCTCTTTCATTCACATACTTGTACCACCATTTACAGACACCCTTACCACATTACAAGTACTTCAACAGGACACGTCGCCTGACTACCAGTATGTCAGAAAGACATTCAATACAAAAGAGACCGTCCCTTACTTGAACCATCGACTATGATAATAAAAGAACAATCATAACACAATAGCATAACGTGGAAGCTCCAAAATCGAAGAAAAAAACAACCATTGCCAAATAACAACCAGAGAATAACACTACGGGAAAATTATTACAACACATAATTTATCCTCAACCACCTTAGGCTCTTAGTACACTCACATCCTCCAAAACAAATATTTAACTACATCTCACAACACACTAACACAAAATTATAAGAGAATAAAGAAAGTCAAATACAATATTAAAGTACTTTTGATTGGTGCATTTTTTAATGAAGAGCTTGAATCCTTTATATAATCTTGGACTCTCTCTTCCTTTACAAAGTTAAGAGATGTGAGACTTCTTCAACATGTATATTTTTAATCAACCTCAAAATTTATAAGGCTTACTTTAGAATATATCCTAAGAAGAAGAACTTTTTTTAAGAGGGGATCTAAATGAACATGTAGAGTGCGTAGTCAAATATTTTGAGGACATGCATGAAAGGTATGGTATCGGGGAGGTAATGTGGAGGGTAAATCTATCTTGGAGTTTTCGTCAGCTTTGGATCTCACAATAACTAATACTTGATTTAAAAAAAAAAAGAAGATGAACATCTTATCACATATAAAAGTGAGGTGACATGTTCTCACATAGATTTTTTTCTTATTAGGAAGGTAGATAAGAAGATTTGCTTGAGGTTTAAAGTTATTTCGGGAGAGAATTTGACTATCCAACAAAGAGTATTGGTTATGAACATGAGAGTCAAGAGGAGAGAAAAGAGAACAAGTTACATGGAAGCACCCCTTATCAAGTGATGACATTTGAAGGATAAAAATAAGAAAGTTACAAACACAAGATTTTGGAGGGAGCGTTTGGACAACCACAAAGAAGTGCAAATGATATGTGGAATAAAATGACTCAAGAGATTTAAAAAGTAGTTAAAGAGACAATGTGAGAATCAAAAGGTTTTGGATCTAGGAGTAAAGAATCGTGGTGGTGGAATGAATGTGTTTAGAGTAAAGTTAGAATAAAAAAAGATTGTTTTAAAGAATGGTAAAGGTGACAAAATACTGAAACTTGGAAAAGTATAGAAAAAGTTAAGAACGAGAATAAGAAGGTGGTGGGTGAAGTAAGAACCCAAGAATTTGAAAAATTATACCAATCTTTAGGAATTAATGAGGGAGGCAAAACTATATATATGCTTGCTAATGGAAGAAAAAGAAAGACAATAGATTCAAATCAAGTGAAGTGTGTTAAAGATGAATAATGTAAAATTTTGGTTCACAAAAAAATATAAAAGATATATGGAAGACATATTTCTATAATTTATTTAATGAAGAATACGATATCTCATCAAACTCAAGCAGACTTGACATCAAAGAAAACGATTGAAACTATAATTACTACACTCAAATTCATAAACAATAAGTAAAAGAAGTGTTGAAAATGATGAGTGTGAAAAATCCTTGAAGATAGGGACATTGAGAGACTCACCAAACTATTTAACAAAATTATAAAAATAAAAAAAATCAAATAAACGGAGAAGAAGTCATTTAATCTCAATCTATAAAAACAAAATTATATAAAAAATTGTGCAAGTTATAAAAGATTAAATTTATAAATCATATTATATTATTAAAAAAAAATAGTGATTGAACGGATTAAACTTATAAATCATCCTATAAAAAATTAATTTCTTATTTTATTTTACAAATTCTCTCTTTTTAAACTCTCCCTTTTCTCTTCCCTTTCTAACTCACAAAGGAAAGTAAACCAACTAAATAAAATATATGTTCCTTCATAAACTAGTTTTAAATTAACATATAATAAGAATGTACTAATAATATCTTGCTATATCACCTTATACATTCCCATCTCTTTCTCTGTTTTCTTTCTCTCCACTTCACACACTCCTCACAACCCCAAAGAAATTGAAGTTTAAAACCACCAACTTTCCTTATCTCTTCCTTCACTACACAACACACAACACCAAAACATGAAAACCATTGAAATCTTCTGTGCATCACAAGCCTCAACAGCCATATGTCTTAACACTGATCACGCCTCCTCCTCCTCTTCTTCTTCCTCAAACACCATTCAATTTGGTGGTAGAGCCATCGATCGCCACAACCCCATCATCACAGATCCAAAAAGAACACCAGCAAGAGATTTCACTCTCCCCGCCTCTTCTTCTCCATCACCCATCAACCCAAAACCTCCCCATGATCTCAAAAAGACCAAGAAAAAGAAAACTACTGCTACAAAGAAAACTACTACGCCCAATGAAAATTCAACTGAACATAAAGATATTGCTAATAATTTCTCTTCAAAACCGTTTGATAGTATTCTAAGAAGAAGTTGGCTTAAACCACCTTCTCATTCAATCACCCCTCCTTCTTCAAGATATTTACTCGATGACATAACTTCTTTGGACGGTGTTTTAGATTATGACCCTGTTTTGGGTTTAACTAAGCTTGATGATAGCAAAAAGAAAGCTCAAGTTTTTGATGAAGATGAAAATAATCATTCATCCAAACAACACTCTAGCTCCTCTGTTCCAAAGCCTAGTTCTACAAACCAGGTTAGTATATCTCTCTGGCTCAACACTCTGTAGCATCGACACTTCTGATCAAAACGTTTTAGGTGTCTGACACCGATAAGAGACTGTAACATGCGATTATGTGTAATTTATTTTTTATATTTTTGCAGGTTGTGGTGTTAAGGGTTTCTCTGCACTGTAAAGGCTGTGAAGGGAAGGTGAGGAAACATCTTTCCAGAATGCAAGGTATGCAAATCACACACTCTTGTTCAAACCATATAATCAAATCGTTTGTTTGATTTTGTTATATATTTAACATTTGATAAAAAAAATTGTTTTGTTAATTAAATTTCAGGGGTTACGTCCTTTAACATAGACTTTGCAGCAAAGAAGGTGACAGTAGTTGGCGATGTGACTCCATTGAGTGTTATGGCAAGCATATCAAAGGTGAAAACTGCGAAAATTTGGCCAGAAACTGCTGCACCAAATGGATCTGGTGCTGGTGAAACAAAGAAAACAAATGCTGTGATCTAGTTGAAGAGGAAAATAGAGTGTTGGTGTTTTTGTATGGTTTGAGTATGAGTTAGGTAGTAGTGATTTAATTGATGTAAATGCGAATGTAACCAAGTGTAGCAGTGGCTTTGAAGAGGTATTATTATAAGTTTAATCGAACTATAGTTCGTGTAATAATATATAATATAACACTAGTGAATGTTTGAATGATGATGTTCAATTCAAAGCCAAGCATGAGTTTGAGGCAAGTAGTTTGAGGCACTTGACTAAGTGACTCATTGCGCGTGGGATAAAACAATATCGCACAAGAATGAAATAGTGGAGCAAATAACAACGAAAATCAACTACTAAACAGTACTGGTAACTTTTTGTGTTTGTGTAGAATTATATAATAAATCAAAGCACAAGATAAAAGAGAAAGAGAAACAAACACTAATAAACTATAGCTATTTTACTTTTTATTTTTATTTTTTATGTATTGGGCTTTTTAGCTTTAAGTTAGTTTGGCACAACAAGTTGGGCTCATATTTTTAAGATTGGGGGTTGTTTTTTTTTAGGAGGATTTTTTTTTAATGCACTCTATATTTCTTAGATTTCATGTGAAATTTTAAATATGTCTTTATTTTTTAGAAAAGTATCTTCATATGTATTCCAACACCCACTCAACAAAAGTCATTTTGGGTGGCGTTCTATTATGATATATTTTATTTCGAAGTTACATTTTTGGAAAGATTCTGTAGTTACATTTCTGTAACATAAACAGATCAGTAGCAGAACCAAAAACATGTATTTTTTCAAAATTAAATTAAGATTCATAAAATAAAATTAGGATTACATAAATCATTTCAATATAAAATGCAACAGTACTTCAATATCTATGTGAACGCTTCAACATCTTTACAATATCTTCGACCAATCTTGAAATCGTCACTTCCAACTCGAGCGAAACTTTTGTTTCAAAACGGAAATACGTATTCTACATAGCCCTTACACTCTGGTGATGTAAGTGGTATAAGACATCTTGGTTTCAAGTAAACGTTTTCCACAAACACACCCGCCTTCACCATTTTTCCATCTTCGAACTCTATTTGTTTCGTTCCTACCGCGGGTTTAACCCGACTTCTAACATTCTTTGTTATATGATACATACAAAGTAATGCATTGGAAGAAGGAAATACCTTTGCAACTGAATTCATCAAGGCGGTATCGCGGTCGGTAACAATCACTTTAGGCATTTCACCTTGGTCCTTCAACAGTGCTCAACGCACCTCTAAGGCCAAAGTAAAATTATCCTCCTTTTCACACTCAAGAAATGAAAAACCAACAGAATATATCTTATAAATTGATGTAACACCAACCATTTCCAATAATGGAAGTCTATACTTGTTGGTCTTGTAGGTTGAATCAAGTATGAACACCCTAGGAAACGTGTTGAACAACTGTATGGAATCAGGATGAGTCCAAAATATATCTCGAACAGTAACTCCATTCTCGCACGTTCGATACCTAGACATGTAACTGTTGTCATCCAATATTTTCAAGAGTTGTTGCATTTTAGTTCTATCCCACTTAAGCGCCTTATAAATAAGGTACCAAATATTATACACTTACTTTATATTTGATATAAGTGCCACTAATGAAAACAGACTTGGAAAATAAACGCAAACTACTTACGGAGATGCATCTTCAGACAAGTTCATACTCATTCCAGAGATGCAATTCCGTACACAACGTTATTTTTTCCAGAAAAAGCTTGATTAATGTGAGCAATGCAGTGAGAAATGAACGATATTTACCTAAAATTATATCTTCTTTTGCTTCCTAAGATATGATGAACCAAAAAATAAGGATTTGGAGTGAAAAAATAGATTGAGAATGGAGGGGGTTTTGATGAAGGGTTTGTGTTGGAAAAAAATGGAAACATTGGTTGTCGATCATTCGGATGTTTCTTTTATCAAATTATTTCGGATATGTATCTCCAAAAATATCTGACATGCAAAGGTGACAGAAAATTTCAAAATCCAACCAAAGTTCTGGAGATGGACCTCCGAAATTTTTATTAAATTGATCAATTACTAACATATTTCTTAAAATGATCCGAAGATGCATCTCTGAAATATGAATAACCCAACTTATAAGGCATCACCCAGAATGACCTAAGTTGAGTAGGTAATGGGTGCGTCCAAAGACACATCTCCAAAAACTAGGGGCATTTTTGGAACTTCGCGCGATGCCTAAGAAACTTATGGGGTGCATTAAGAAATCATCTTTTTTAGTATCCGGAGATGCACACCTTTTTCACCCATATTTTGACACAATTTGTTGAGTCATCCTTATTTTACAAAAAATTGAGGGTGTTCAGAGATGCATCTCCGGACACACATTTTTTACACACATTTCAGCACAAATTGTTGAGTCATTATTATTTTGTGAAAAATTAGGTGCGTCTGGAGATGCGTATCTCCGGACAAATTTTTTAACTAAGTCATAGTTGCAATCTAGAGGTTCAACCAAAATTGTTGTTGATTTGAACTCCATTGTTTTAGTTATTCCAATTGAAGATCTTTTCCGTTGATAAAGTTGGTATAGGTTAGTCATTTTCCATAAAGTTTCTATCCATTTTTCTTTACCTCGTAAGAGGATTTTGGCTTTAGAATCAATAGATAATAATTTTATTATTCTGTATTTATGGAATTGTGAATGATACTAGTATATTCTATTAAATTATCTAATACTCAATTAACTTAAAGAGTAGTTAATAAATAAATATAAATAATTATGTAGTTTATTTTAAATAATTTTTTTCAACAACTTACTTAAAAGTTAAATAAATATAAATAAAAAATCAAAACGGTTGTACATGGCGTGTTAGTTACCTGCATATTTTATTTGTGTATTGAGTTGTCTAGAAATGCATTTCCGAACACTTTTTTTTAGCAAAATAGAGTGGATCTCAGAATAACGTATTCTAGTGTAATATGGATACATCCGGATATGCATCTCCCGACGCATGAAAGATATTTTCGAATTTTCAGAGGTGTGGGATGAACATATAAGGGTGGAAAGAGCAATCTCATTTAGATTTTTTTGTTTTTCCTTACCACTCATATAAATAATTGGTCCATCTTCCTTTCCTCTATTTTCGTCTCCCATTTTTTTCCATAATTGTTAAGTAATACTCATATCACAAAACTCTAAAATCCAACCTAGCCCAAAACCGATTCAAACCTTGATCATCCATTTCTTACAAAACCAATTCTTTCTTAGAAAATCTCACCAACTTTATAACTTCAATCGTCTTTCACCCAGAAATTCATAAAGTGCTTTAAATATTCATCATGTACTTCATATCAAAATCGATCGTTTGCTTTGGTACGCGAGCACCTTGTTTTGACTCCAAGAATTATTAACACTTTTCAAGTTTGATTTTCTTATTTTATTGAGCCGTTCTTGACTCTTAAACAAGTAAACTGCTCTTTAACGTTGAGGTGTTCTTCTATGATTTGAGATAATTTAGTCGATTTTCCATGTTTTTTTAGATAGTTTGGTTGCATTTTGTATAACCAGACCGTTTACTATATGTTTTGACCTTTCTGACAAAATTCAAAACAAATTACTATATGACAGATACAAACCAAATACATATAACAATTTGATTTCTCAATAACTCAAAAAAATAATGATATGTTACGGCTGGATCTAACACACCTTTGTGATCTGACTATTTACAATTGACTTGAGCAAACATCTGATTTGAGTTGTTATATTTGCATTCTCCTTATTCACAAATTGACTTGATCTTTAATCAACATGTTAAATACTCATCGACGATGTTTCAAAATGAAACAAAACTTAAGTGATTATCAAATTCAAATTATAGGCTTACCAAGGTAATTTAGCATTGTAAGTGAAATTGATATTGGAAATCAACAACAATTTTCATTTAACTCTTTAAGATTTTTCTATTAAACCAAATCTCCTAAAAACAACTTTGAACCAAATACTAAATTTAGAATTGTAACAAAAAATGAACATTTTGCTATGAAACAAAAATTTTGATTATATCATTTTTATAAGTAATTGGTAAGCTGTTAGAATGTACATTTTATTTTAATTATATTATTTTAATTATATAATAATTATTTTAAAGTTTCTATTTAAATTTCCGTATAGACAACGAGGTACTGAACTTATAAAGTCCAAGTTGATATCCTAATAAAAGATATCTTTTACCATTTTAAATAGTTATAATGTCCAATTATTATTATAAAATTAAAATATTACTGGGAAAATACTCTTGATAATTTTCTAAAACGAACAAATCTAAACGAGGGTATAGTCTAATTTATATTTGAGCTTAACAACTATTTAAATATAGTGTAGGTTAATTTTAAATATTTTGAAATAAATGTTTCAAGTCGTAACGAGTTATATTTAAATAAGCATAAATAATATTCTAATCATTTTAATTTTTTTTACAATCCAATAGTTATGAAAAATTAGGTTCTTGCCAAAGATTAGAGGAAGTGCTCGAGGACTTTCAACAACGCTCAAAAGGTGGGGGAATGATCTGTATATGTTGAGACGGTTAGCGTAAAATAATTTATTATATATAAAAGTAGTGGTGACCAAAGCCCTACTATGGATGAATAAGTAAGGAGAGTCAAGTCTCTGTTATCCCAACCTAAATAATTTGCTAAAGGCTAATTTATTATATCCAAGGTTTATTTGTGCTTGCATGATTTGATTATTTGTCTTAATATTTATTTGTTTATTTGAATATATTAGCAAGATACCCGTACTCCCGCACGAGTAAATATATTTGATATGATATAAAATATATTTAGATACACTTGTAAATTTGAAATTAATTAATTAATTGTAAAATAAACAACGATCATATAAACTCAATTGTATTAAATATGTATTGTGTTAATAGTGACTCGTGAGATGTAAAATTAGTTGTTTAGACAGTTATTGAGCATTGTCCAATTTTATACGATGTAATATATATATATATA